GTTGTTTATAGTATTATCTTTTTACTCTTCATAGGCTCTGTAGTGATGTTTTCTAATTTCTGTCCTCTTTTTTTTCCTAGTTAGACCAGCTAGAGGCTTATCAACTTTATCTTTTCAAAGAATAAGCTTTTAATTTCATTGATTTTTCTATTTTCTTTTTTCTAATTTCATTGATTTTTGCTCTAATTCTTGTTTCTTCTACTTACTTTGGATTTAACTTACTAGTTGTATTTTTTTCTAGCTTCCTAAGGTAGATACTTAGATTATTGATTTTAGGTGAGCTTGAGAATAATGTGTAATCTGTTGTTGTTGGATGAAGTAGTCTATACATGTCCGTTATGTCTAGTTGATTAATGGTACTATTGGTTAAATGATGTCCTTGCTGATTTTCTTTCTTTTTTTTTTTTAATTAAGTCATTTGTACATAGATCATAAATATATTTATGGCATTATAGGATTCAATGTGTTGATTATTTGTACAAATTGGAGTGCTTACATCCTACTAGGCAACATAGCCTTCACCACTTTTACCCAATAACAGATTAAGACATTTATGCTCTACACCTGATAGATCCAACTTGTACTTGCAATATGTTCCATAGGTGTGATATCCTAACAACCCTCCCTCTATTGTTCCACCCCCTCCCTTCCCCTCTCCCTCCGCTTCCCTCCTTTTTATCCTTAGGCTATAGTTATGTTTCATTTTTCACATATATGTGTGAGTGATTGTACATTGGTTTCACAGTAGTACTGAGTACATTGGATTTTTTTTTTCCATTCCTGAGATACTTTACTAAGAAGAATATTGTCCAGCTCCATCTATGTAAACATAAAAGTGGTAAAGCCTTCTTTTTTTTAATGCTGCATAGTATTCCATGATATACATATACCACAATTTATTAATCCATTCATGGGTCGATGGGCACTTGGGCTTCTTCCATGAATTGGCAATTATGAATTGGGCTGCAATGAACAATCTGGTGCAGATATCTTTATTGCCAAATGATTTTTGGTCCTTTGGCTAGATCTATCTGTATTTTATGGATTTGAACTTTCCAGCTATAATAGTGGTTTCATCTCCTCCTTGCAATTCTGTCAGTTTTTGCCTCATGTAGTTTGATGCTCTTTAGCTAGGTACGTACATGTTAAGGGTATCTTCTTAGAGAATTGACCTGTTGGTCATTATGTAATGCCTCTCTTTATCCCTAGTATCCTCCCTTGTTTTTATGTCTACTCTGTTAAAATAATTTGGCTCCTCCTTTTTGTGTTAGCTTGATATATTTTTCTCCAACCATTGACTTTTAATCTATATGTATTTATAGGTAAAGTAGGTTTCTTCACATAATTAGAGTTTGTGTTTTGATCCACTCTGACAAGGTCTATCTTTTAATAGGTGCATTTAGACCTTTGACATGATTATTATTCAAAGTGATTACTGATATAGTTCGAGCAATATCTTTACCATATTTGTCATTGTTTTCTATTTTGTTGCCCTGTTCTGTGTTCCTCCTTTTGTCTTCCAGTCTTTATGCCTTTTGTGATCTTCACATTTTTTATAATTCTGTTTTCTTTCTTTCCTTTGCATATGTGTTACACTTTTGTTTTTAATTTTTTTAGTGTTTTCCATAGAGTTTGCAATATACTTTTATAGCTATTTCATGCCACTTTCAGATAACTCTGTACCACTTCACAGGTCATGTGAGGACTTGAGGACTTTACAAAATAATCTTTATTCCTACCTCTTATCCCATATATCATTGTTGCCATTCATTTCAGTTACACATAAACCTACATAGGCAGATTATATATATATACACTATGTAAATAAGCATACAATAGTCATTATTTTGAACAGTTAATCTGTTAGATCAATTAAGAATAAGGAAAACAAACATTTTTATTTTATCATATTTCTGTTTTTATGCTCTTACTTTTCTTTATGTACATCTGAGTTTCTGACCTATGTTATTTTCTTTCTCTCTGAAGAGTTTCTTTTAACGTTTCTTGCAAGACAGGTCTACTGGCAATAAATCACCAGTTTGTTTGTCTGATAAAGTATTTCTCCTTCACTTCTGAAGATAATTTTGCAGTGCACAGAATTCTAGGTTGTGTTTTTTTCCTCTAAACACTTTAAATAACTCTACTCTTGTTTGCATGGTTTCTAAGAAGTCAGATGTAACTCTCACTTGTTCATCTACAAATAATGTTTTTTTTCCCCCCTCTGGTTTCTTTAAGAATTTTAAAAAATATTTTATTTGTTTTTTATCAGGATTTTTTTTTATGTTTGATTTTCCGTAGTTTGCAAATAGTATACGTATGTGTAGGTTTCTCAGCCTTTATCCTGCTTGGTGTTCTCTGAGGTTCCGTGGTCTGTGGTTTGGTGTTTGAAAATAATATGTTCTTAGTCATTATTTTTTCAATTATTTCAAAGTAACTTCTGTTACTTTCTTTTCTTTATGGTGTTCTCATACCACAATTGTCCTGTAACTCTTGGTGGTTCTGTTCTGCTTTTTTCAGTCTTTTTTTTGTCTTTCAGTTTCAGAGGCTTCCAATTAGATATACTCAGCTGCTGAGATTTTCCTTAGTTGTGTTCAGTTTACTAAGAGTACAGCAAAGGCATTCTTCATTTCTGTTAGTGTTTTTTAATCCCTAAGTTTTTTTTTTTTGAGACAGAGCCTCAAGCTGTCCCCCTGGGTAGAGTGCCGTGGCATTACAGCTCACAGCAACCTCCAACTCCTGGGCTCAAGCGAGTCTCCTGCCTCTGCCTCCCAAGTAGCTGGGACCACAGGCGTCTGCCACAACACCCGGCTATTTTTTGGTTGCAGCCGTCATTGTTGTTTGGCGGGTCTGGGCTGGGGATTCGAACCCGCCACCTTAGGTGTACATGGCTGGCGCCTTAGCCGGTTGAGCTATAGGCACCGAGCCAATCCCTAGTTTTTTTTATTGTTATTTTTTTCTTAGGATTTCTATCTCTCTGCTTATATTGCCCATCCATTCTTTTTTATAATGTCCACCCATTCTTGCATGCTGTCTACTCTATCCATTAAAGCCCTTAGCATATTATCAGTTGTTTTAAATTCTGTCTGAGAATTCCAGTGTCTCTGCCATGTCTGGCTTTTGTGCTTGTTCTGTGTTTCCAAATTGTCTTTGCTTTGTAGTATGCCTTGTAATTTTTTCTTGCTAGCTGGAAAAGTGATATTCTGGGTGAAAGGAACTGCTGTAAATAATCCATTAGTAATGTGGTACAGTGTGGGGGAAGTAGTTCTATGATTAGTCTTGTAGTGAGCCTGTGCCCCTTGGCTGTGAACTTCACATGTTCTTCTTGATACCCACCCCTTAGGTGGGACAGGTTGGCTAGAATGGATTGCGGTTGGACGTGGAAGGCAGGTACTCACTGTTGTTGAGTGTTTCCCTTCTCTCAGGTCAGTTAGGCTCTGATCATACCCCAGCAGGTTAGACTCTGAGTTTCTCTGGAGAGCAGGCTTTATTTATTAAGGAGAATAGAGTGCTCTGGCCTATTTCAAAATGGTTCCTTTTCAAGTCTTCCCCTTACTGGAAGCACAGAGTTTCTCCAGTGGTCTCCCTGAGAAACTTGGTAGAGCTCCTGGGGGTAAAACTCACAAAATATTTTCTCAGGTTTATCTACACTGAGCCTATAGCAATTCATCAATTACAGTTCAGGGTTTTCTCCCTTGACACTGATTTCCCCAGAGGTTTACTTTTTTTTGGTTGCAGTTTGGCCAGGGCCAGGGCTGAGTTCAAACTCAGCCACCCTCCATATATGGGGCCGGCACCCTACTGGCTGAGCCACAGGCACCGCCCACCCCAGAGGTTTCTGCTCTTGAGTTTCTCTTCCAGCATCCGGAACTCCCTGAAGATGGTGGTCTGTCTGCAGTGTCAGGGCCAGTGATTACTCAGTATCTTTACCTCTCTTCTGGATCCAAGAAGAAATGATTTTTCAGTTTGTTCAGCTTTTTATTTATCGTCCGGACTGAGGGGTGACTTCTGAGCTCCATAAGAAATTTTCTTTCTTTTTTTTTTTTTTTTGAGACGGAGCCTTAAGCTGTCCCCCTGGGTAGAGTGCCATGGCATCACGCTCACAGCAACCTCCAACTCCTGGGCTCAGGCGAGTCTCCTGCCTCTGCCTCCCAAGTAGCTGGGACTATAGGCGCCCGCCACAATGCCTGGCTATTTTTTGGTTGCAGCCATCATTGTTGTTTGGCGGGTCTGGGCTGGGGATTCGAACCCGCCTCCTTAGGTGTATGTGGCTGGTGCCTTAGCCGCTTGAGCCACAGGCGCTGAGCCGGAAATTTTCTTTCTTAACATAGGCATTTAATAAAGGTATAAATTTTCTTTTAGGCACTACTTAAACTGCCTCCCCTAAGTTTTGGTATGTTTTGTTTTTGTTTTCCTTTCTCTCATTTTCTAATTTGCCCTGTGATTTGTTGTTCAAATCATTGATTATTTTGGGAGTGATATTTAATTTTCATATATTTTCGTATTTTCAAGATTCCTGATTTATAATTTATTCCAGTATTACTAGGTAATATACTTTGTGTGATTTTAGTTATTTAAATTTATTGAGGCTTGCTTTGTGGCCTGACAAACATCCGTCCTGGAGACCATTTCACGCTTACCTGAGAAGAATGTGTATTTGGCTCTTGTTGGGTGAAGTGTCCCCTAGATGTTTGTTCATTCTGGTTGGTTTATCGTGGTGTTAGGTCTTCTTTTCTTCTGTTGATGCTCTGTCTGGCTATTAATCTGCATTGAAAGTGCTTTCTGGGAGGCCTTGACATACCCTCATGTGTTCTGATTTAGGCCACACTAAAAGGCACCATGGGAGCAGATCGTGGTGTTCCTCAGGGTTTGTTTTTGTTTCTGTTTTTTTGTTGTTGTTGTTTTTGTTGTTTGTGGGAAGGATGTGGTGGTGCTTTGCATTGTGTAGGGTTCTTGTAAGGTTTTTGGTCACAGAACCCTGCCATCCTGTGCTCTTGTTTCAGATTCAAACGCTTAGCAAGTCTCAGCCCAGGCCACAAGAAGCAGGCCTGCCACAGGCAGAAGAGCCACAAGGGAAAGGACACGTGCCCAGTGATGGCAAGGGGCAAGTGCCAAACCCCAGTTCTGAGGTGGCCGTGGATTTGAAGAGCCAAGATAAGAAAGGTAAGTAGAAAGTTACATTTTTACCCCTTCCGTGGCTCCTTTCAGTTTGGAAAAGCAGCAGCAACTTATGTGCTCTAGTCCATACACAGACTCCAAGGCCAGAGCTTGTGGCTTGAGATAGTCGGTGAACTCAGAGGTAGGGCTGTCAGGGGCGGGACAGCATCTCTCTGGGCACCTGGAATTGGGCCCAGAGGGCTTCTCCTCTGCCTTATTGAGGTCTTTGCCTTGTAAACTAACTGCCTTGTTCTTTAGCAGCTATGAAAGAAAGTGTGGGCTTTACTTTTTTTAGGACATTAGTGGGATTAAGGGGAGGTGGCTTTTTTGTTCCAGGCAGCTGTCTCTGGGAACCAAGAAGGCTGTGATATCTGTAGGTGACACCTGGCTGGACTGGCATGCCCTGGCTGCCAAGTGCTTATCTCAGATGGACACAGTGATCAGACAACTCAGCAGGATGCCCTGCTCCGCTTGCAGGTGTTGAGATAATTTAGTCTATGAGTTTTTTCTAAACTGCTTTTCTCTTCCTTATGATTCTGAAGATAAGCTATAGGTATTGAGAGGCCTGCAGGCTGCTGCTGAGTTCACCAAATAAGTTACCTACCTGCTACACTGTACACAGCCCATTTCATCCCTCCTTGGGAAGGCTCATAAAGTTGAATAGCACAAGGTTTTGTTTTTGTTTTTTTGTTCTAATTAAATGGTGGTGAGATCCCAGCTGACTGTGTTCTATGCGCAGAGGAAACCAATGAGATCCAGGTTGTCAGCGAGGAGTCTCAGAGGGGTGGCCTGGGGCTGCTGCAGGAGCCAGGCCAGGAGCAGGCTGTGGAAGAGAGACCAATAAGTGGAAGAGACTTGGGAAGAGCCAGAGAACTGAGCCGAGCCCCGCAAGTATCAGCTGCCTTATTGCTGAGCCAGGAGAATCAGGAGACTGAGGGCCCTGAGCGGGACCAGCTTGTCATTCCCAATGGCCAAAAGGAGCAGGATGCTGCTGAGGAAGGTGGGTGAGCGGCCCCATGGTTGCCTGTGCACTCCTTTCTACCAGATACTCAGTCCTCTCCATCTTCTTCTCAACACCAGACAGATCCTCTTGAATTTTACCAAATAGCAGTTCATGATTTGGAAGTTCCTCTTTGTATGTTTATTATCCATGATGAAGTGGGGAGTCAGAAAGGAAGAGCAGTGTACACTCTAGCACTTGAAGTTTCAGAAATAATATTAATAGGAAGTGAAGGGAACCCTGCAGGTGAACGACCTGCAGTGAATATCATGGTAGGCAGTACACATGTCTGAACATTTTATCTCTGCCTCTTTATTCAGTGTTTGGTGCAGTAGACACAGTCAGTGCCTGGTAAGGGAGGGAGGGCTGGGGGAGGGGTACAAGAGTTTGACACATATTTGACCATTGAGGAAAAGTGACGTATGAATCCCACTTTTCTAGTCTAGTTGACTTTTTTCTTTTTAAAGAAATAAAGTATGGGAATATTCTGAGATCAACATAATATTCTGAGATGTATTTCAGTACCTTAAAGATGTAGAAAATTTCCATCGTACCTGAGCCAGGAGCACTTCTGGAGGCGTGACACCTGTGCTCTGGACAGATCAAGTAACAGAAGTCGGGGAATATGCTTATTTACAGAAGTAACCCTGATTCCAATCTAATTTTCCTTTTAGTTTCTCTTTCTGAAGAATGTGCCCTCCCAAGTTCAGTTAAAGAATTATATTTTGTCAGCCTACCCCCTCAGCATCCCTGCTCGGGTCCCTGTTCTCTAGGCCTGCCTAACAAGATGCGCATGGTATGAGGGGGGGAGAGCACACTGGCAGCTCAGCCAGTGGGGCTCAAGTGTCAGACCACTCAGTAGCAGGTCACAGAGTGTAACAGCTAAAGGTGGACCGTTGCTACATCAGGCTCTGCACAGTGCATCTGGTTCTAGATGCAACTGTGGTGATCTCCTTTGAAGAATAAATGTACAGAGAATGCAGGCCTATGCTCGTTTCCACCTCAGGCAGTGAAAGCAAAGAAATAGACTAGAACTAGAGCTGGTTTTCCAAGCATGCTTTTCAGGGGAAAAAAAAAGATTTTTATTTACCCATCTGTATACAAATATAAAATGTTTAGGTTAAACCCTTTGAGTAGGTCTGTGTACATTATGTCTTGATCTCTTCTGGTTGCTGTTCTCTGTAGGAGTGAATATAGTAATGAGCAGGGTAACTCTGTAAATATGAGGTGCAATTTTATCCTTGGGCTCAATAATGACTCCATGTCTTCTCTTGTAGCAATGAGCTGTTCAAAGCAGATGATGTCATTAACTAGAAAACTGTTGTTTCCTAGAACAGTGGTACCTTTATCATGAGTTCGTTGTCTATTTAAAAAAAACTTGGATTTCTGGCTCAGTGCCTATAACTCAACGGACACCAGCCACATGCACTGGGGCTGGTGGGTTTGAACCCGGCAAGGGCCTGCTAAGAAACAATGACAGCTACGGGCGTTGTGGCAGGTGTTTGTAGTCCCAGCTACTTGAGGGGCTGAGGCAAGAGATAGGCTTAAGCCCAAGAGTTTGAGGTTGCTGTGAGCTCTGACACCATGGCACTCTACCAAGGGTGACAAAGTAAGACCGTCTCAAAAAAAAAAAATCAAAAACAAACAAAAAAACCCACCCAGGGACGACGCCTGTGGCTCAAAAGGGTAGGGCGCCGGCCCCATATGCCAGAGGTGAGTTGTTCAAACTCAGCCCCGGCCAAAACCTGCAAAAAATAAATAAATAAATAAATAAAAATTAAGAAAAAAGAAAACCACCAACAAAAAACACCCACTAGGATTTTAGCTGGGCACGTGGCTTAGCTGTAATCCTAGCATTTTGGGGTGGGTGGATTGCTTGAGCTCAGGAGTTCAAGGCCAGCCTGAGTAAAAGCAAGACCCTGTCTCTACTGAAAATAGAAAAAGTAGCCTGTAGTCCCAGCTCCTAGAGATACTGAGGCAAGAGGATCAGTTTAGCTCAGGAGTTTGAGGTTGCTGTGAGTTACGATGCCACATACTCTACACCCAGGATGACGGAGTGAACTCTGTGCCAAACAAAACCAAACTACCTAGGATTTTGATTTAGCTGGCCAGTTTGTGTTCCCATTTCCAGCCTGGAATATATATAGTCTTATTTAGGGCCATATATAGCTTTTGAGTCCAAGTGAAGCATATGTTAAGTAGAGATGGTTTTGTGCTGGAAACAAGCACACGAGTCCCTATCATTTCCAGAGAAACAGCAAAAAGATCTGATTGGGATGAGTAGGATAAACCCCAGCACCTGGGCTCTGGTGTTCCTGTGGTATCAAGCGAAACGATGTAGCTTATATTTTATGCGGTAAATTTACAGGGAGAAACCAGCAAAAACTGGGAGAAGATGATGACTACAACATGGATGAAAATGAGGCAGAATCTGAAACAGACAAGCAGGCAGCCCTTGCTGGGAATGACGGAAACCTAAATGGTAATAATGGTGGTGGTGTGGTAGCCAGAGAAGGCAAGGGGAGTGGGTCCCTTTTAATTTTCTTTGTGGTTCTTCACTTTGTCCAGTGCATCCTAGCAATAATATTTTAAATAATTCATCATTTCAAGGAAACTCTTTTCTTCAGGAGCCTTTGAAAGCAGGGGCAGTGGAGGGAGGTAAGGGTTGAGTAGCCTAAGGAGAGGAAGACCTTTCAGAAAGTCTGCATATTCAGTGGGGCTCCAGCCCTCAGGTATCCACAGGAAGACTTGTTTTCTGTTGGCCACTTGCCAACAAAATGGCTAGGTCACCACTTGATCAGTCTGTGTGACAAATGTAAAAGCCCTTATATGTATATGCACAGAGCTTCCAAGCAGTTTTTATAGCTACACTTCATTATTATTTTGATGTTTTGAATAGTCAAGGCCAGTATCTTAGATTTATCTGTTTCCTTGTGATGGCTTCAGGTTGAACATTTTTGTGGCTACAGTTTTGTTCCTTTTGCTTCCCAACAGGAGGGACAAAATGGCAGTTTTTTTTTTTTTTTTTTTTTGAGATAGAGTCTCATTATGTTGCCCTGGGTAGAGTGCCATGGCATCACAGCTGTCAGCAACCTCACACTCTTAGGTTTAAGCGATTCTCTTGCCTCAGCTTCCCAAGTAGCTGGGGCTACTGGCGCCCACCACAATGCCTGGCTATTTTTTGTTGTAGTTGTCGTTGTTTAGCTGGCCTGGGCCAGGTTTAAACCCGCCAGCCTTGGTGTATGTGGCAGGCGCCATAACCACTGTGCTATGGGGTGCCAAGCCAATGGCAATTTTTCTTACTGGTGGTGATCTCTTGGCTAAGATAGCACCTACCTGGTCTCTCCATCAGAAAGGTCTGTTTTCTCTTTGTAATTAATAGGTCATCTAGGATGCTTTGAAATGGTGCAGCTTTACCATCCATTGATGAACCTTGCCTAAATGGTGACATTTTAATTGTCATCTGTGCACATTTATTACCTGATGTTCTTCAAAGAGTGACTCTCTTCTCTACCCCCCAACACACTTCTTTCAGTATCACTCCGAAGTCATGGTGTCCTTTTTTAAAATGCATTTTTCTGTCAGAATCCTGGTGTTTTCTTTCTCAATTTTGAAGACTTCTTTATCTGTGGTCTAAGTTGCAAATACTTACTCCCAGTTTCTCTTGGGTTTGCATTTGGCATTTTTGCTGTGCAACAGTTTGAAACATTTAAATCTTTTCTTTTATTGCTTCTGTATATTGAGTCATAGTTAGAAAAGCTTGTATTCAGTCTTAGAAGGAATTCACTCATGCTTTTGTTTAGTGTGTTTTCATCCAGAATGCTTTCTGGTTTTTCTTGTAGTTTCTATTATAAAGTAAAACAGTGATTCAAAACCACATGAAACAAATGAAGTTTTTGAAAGTGAACACCTCCCTGGTCAAGAAACAGAACGTGGCTCAGCGCCTATAGTGCATGGTTATGGCACCAGTCACCATGGCTGGTGGGTTTGAACCTGGCCCGGGACCAGCTAAACAACGACAACAACAACCACCAGGAAGTAGCTGGGCGTTGTGGCGCCTGCCACAATGGCTGGCTATTTTTTGTTGCAGTTGTTGTAGTTGTTTAACTGGCCTAGGCTGGGTTCGAACCTGCCAGACTCCATGTATGTGGCTGATGCTGTAACCACTGTGCTATGGACGCCGAGCCTAGTCTTGTTCATTTTCCTAAATTTGATGTCCTTAAGTCTCAATCTGCAGGTTTCTCCTCCATTCCTTTTTTTCCTTTACCATATGCAAAACACCTAAGCCATTGACCTGTGGTTTCCTAATGTTCACGTGATTATTGCTGATTGTGTATTCATGGGGCACTTTCACATGCTCTTCTATCATACTTTCTGCAGATTGGCAGCTGGATCCATATGCTTGGTCAGACTCAGACACAAGTTGTGGCTCAAGCCTTTGGTCAGAAGATAGGTAAAGATAGGTAGTGGTGTGGTCTTTCATCTTTCTTTTTGTGACATAAGGAGCACTTAATGCTTAGTATCCATGTCGTTAATTGTTTTGTTTGTTAATTGGAATGTTCTTATAGGAAGACACTATAATGGTATTATTTGTATAGGATAGGTAGGATGAATACTTGATACTTTATTTTTCAGAATAATGAATTTCCTCATCTTTTTTCTAAAAGTGATCTCTTTTTATATCATTATAACAGTGTTATAAACATGTTTGATGGGTTTCACTCAATTGCACTATTCTTTGGCTAGTGGGATCTCTCCTATTTGTTTTTGTTTGTTTGTTATTATTGTTTTGTTTGAAACAGTCTTCTGAGCTAGAATGCCATGACCTCAGCCTACCTCACAGCAACCTCAAATTTCTGGGCTCCAGCGACCCTCCTGCTTCAGCCTCTTGAGCTGCTGGGAGTATAGACCTGCACCACTACCCCTGGCTAATTATTTTTTGTAGAGATGGGGGTCTTGCTTTTGCTTAGGCTGGTCTTGAGCTCCCAGAGTGCCAGGATTATAGGCATGAGCCACTGTGCCTGGCTGAGACCTTCCCTACTTCTGAGAGTTTGGTTTCCTTTGTTTCTCATATCCTGTCTTGCAGTCTTCACCCCACATTTAGCACTTTTTTTCCTTATGGGTCTCTGCTTGGAAGGAACCCCAGAAAGGAGCCCTGGCAGATCGATCAGTCTCAGGAGTCCTTGCACTGCCAGCCTTTTAACATGCCAGAGCTTCTTTTTGGTCACCTATTATGAGAGCAGCAGGACCTCTCCTACTCCCAAGGGCAGTTGTCCCATTGGGGCAGTTGTCCCATTGGTTCATTAACTTGCTGGTGTATGCCTGTTGGCTGTTTGGGCTTCTTTTATTCTCAGGGCCATCATATGCTCCATTGTTTCACTGTTTTTTTAAGATGGTGCCAGCACGTGGTAGTTTCCTTTAACGGCTTGAATTCTACAGTTTAAACATGCAAATGAAATGTTGGTATGGCATGAGGTATGGGTCCAATTTGATCTTTTTCAAAAAGCCTATCCAGTTGGCCCAACATCATTTCAAATTACCATTTGCAATACCACCTTTACCAAATACTAAATTTCCATATGTATTTGGGTCTAGTTTTGGACTTTCTGTTTCTCTCCTGTTGGTTGCTGTGCTGATTCACACTATACCATACTATTCTAAGTGTAACAGCTTGCTTTAATAACTGTTATGGCTAGGCGCTTTGGGAAATCTCAGATACAGCTCCTTTGAGTAGTAATGCTTCTTCCCTTTTTGATTCCTTCTTGGACTTAGATTAAAAGTGTTAGATCTAATTCTATTTATGTTTCTTGCTTTCTTTTTTTCATACTTTCCATTTGTGCCTCTAGGCTACATTCAGAATATTTCCTCAGAAGTACATTCCAGTTCACAAAGTTGACTTCAGTTACACGTTATCTGCTCTTTAAAAAGTCTTGTCGTTATATTTTCTGCAGGTGCTCATTTGTGGTATACCTTGTTTGCTTTTGTGTTTCCTGCTTTTTAACTGTGAGCTACTAGTTTTTTTGGGACTTTTTCTGAGGGAAGTCTTTAAGGGTTGAGTTACAGTTGTACATGTATTTCACTAGAGAAGGTAAGTTTGCTCCTCTGCCAGTTTAAATAAGGGCACTGTAAACTAACAGCCTTCTTAAAGTTCTAAGTTTTTTGGAATCACATGGGAAATGTTAATTCAGATTATAAACCTGCATAGTCATCTTGTGGTCAGTCCATTTTCATGGAATCTCACTGTCCCATTTTCATGTCAGGTTTATTTTCCATTACTTTTGGGGTTTCAGCTTTATGCAGGGGGTCTGCTACTTGATACCCCACCCTGAGTACAGCCTAAGTCCTTGGCTTTTATACTGCTGCACCTTTTGAAGCTATGAAGGGAGAAGCCTAGTATCTTCAGGCTTCAGCATCAGGGCAAATTCTGGCTTTGATGTTTACTTTTACTTCATTTTTGGCCTTGTAGACGCTTTTATTATTATATAGGCAATCTATTACTCTTAATGTGTTATAGTGTTTTTAAAAATTTTGAAGTTTTCATTTTGAAATGATAGATTTTAAATATAGTAAAAAGAATTTTCATACTCAACAGGTTTCCCCAAATGTTAATGTCTTATAACCACAGTCCAGTTATCAAAATGAGGAAATTAATGTTGATATAATGCTGTTATCTAATCCACAGACTTTATTCAAATTTAATGAATGTCCAACTGATACCCTTTTCTGGTCTAGGATCTAATCTAGGATCATACACTGCATTTATCATACCTCTTTAGTGTCCCTTAACTCAGAGCTGTTTCTGTCTTTCATTCATGTTGTTGTTGTTCTTTGAAGTACAGTGGCCTGATTGTTTCATAAAAAGTCCCTTAGTTGGTGTTTGATCCAGCAACACATTCTTGTTTGTCTTTATATTTATCCAGGACGTCAGTTGTTTTAATTGGCAGAGTTGTTTTGAGTTTCTAGAAATGGAAGTCATAACTTGACTTCTAAGTTATTTTCAATGACTTTAGGGTGATTTTTTTTTTAAAGGTGAAAGGTTAACATTAGCGGTCAGGATTCTAAATAAATACAAAATCTCTCCCAACTTTCTGTTCTTAGTGTCATTGATTCTGCTCATTTTTGTACTTTGGTTCTTGAAGAATATGTTTCATGGTCTGGTCCTATCTGTTTCTGTAACCTTTTAAATGGGCCTGGTGCCTACCACCTGCACAGCTTTGCAGTGAAGCCTTGTGATCTTTCCATTCCTAACACTCAGGTGTACTAAGAACATGACCTTATGCAAGGTTTTAATACAAGTGAGGTAGGCAAGGTATGAATGCCTGTTAGTTCTTTTAAGAAATAGTGTTAAGTTGAAGAAATATCAGCATCACCTTCAACATTATCTTTGAAACAGTTTAAGACCCTAGTTGCTCTAGGGAAATTAGAAGGTATTAACTCCAACTTAGAGACTTTTAATAGATACCATTAATGTAATAAGGCAGTCATTTAGTTAACCGTCATTATCCTTTATGTGTCCAAGGATAGTGTAAGACCAGATGGTAGAAGCCACATACTTCAGCCCTATCAAGGGAGAGCTCTGGAGTAGAAGGAGCTGTCTGACTCTTAGGAGGCTCTATACATTCCAAGAGATGCAGCCTAAGAGGACTATTTATATAAAATTTTACCTACTTGATAGGACATGGGGCTTTATTTTCCCATTTTAAACAATTATGGAATCTTCAGGTATTTTAACTTTGTTTCATGGTACACTACTAGCCATATGTATGGTCTCTTTTACCTTCTTACACTTGATTAGGAATGCAATCTCAATTGTAGTGTTGGTATGGGAGATACAGTTCTCTTTTATGACATAGTTTCTAGAAACTTAAGCCAAATGGGACCTGCCTAGACTGTTTTCTCAAGATGTGAAAATATTGGAATATTATGTCTGAGTTTTTCCTTTTTAGTTTTTATTGCTGAAGATCAGAAAAAAGACACCATAAGTTTATTTGATCAGCATGAAAAGCGGAATCGTACACTCTGAACTGAGCTGGAATTCACATATTTTACATCAGGACTGAAGCAATCACTACAAAATATTCACGAGGGACCGAATACTCAAAGCTGTGAAATGTACTGAGTAAATGTACATCTGAAGATGGTTATTGTGGAAATGAGTATGTACCTTAGGAAAAACTGGACTGTCTCTTAGACAATTTTGGGGGGGGGTGCTTTTGATGTATGTAATAAGATGCTAAAATTTGTCAAAATTTTTGGCTAATAAATAGGTATTTCATGAGGAGATCACCAGAAATAGAACACGAGTTCTCCTTTGAGTGTGGCAGCAATGGCGCTCCTTTATTCTGGAGCATAACTGTGTGAAAGACAATAACATGTAGGAGGAGTCTGTCTTCTGATGTGAAGGAGACTGACTCCATGCGGAGAACTCTTTTTCCCTTCTCTACAGTCCTCTTCTCTAAATGCTGGGCTGAGTTCTCTTCTCTCTGGTACAGTGAGTGACTGGCTTATATTCTTGTGCACTCACTTCCAATTCTGACAATCAAGGGCCTAGAGCACTGACTGTTAACACAACCTAGCAACAGTTTTAAATAAGTCTAATTTTAAAGCTGTTTTGTGTGAGAATTTTTAAAAAGACTACTTGTATAATAATTGTCATTTTTAATGTACAAAACACTATTACTTGACTTGTAATTTGAACATTTGTGGTCTATACTTACTTCGCTACATATTTGTGGGCAAAGCAAAATCTTCTCTAATAAGTGCATTGCCAAAAAACTCCAGTGAATTCAATAGACTTTTGACAAAAAGGGCCCAACCAGAGCTGACACGAGCAAGCTGCAGCAGAGCACAGTGAGAACAGGTTTGGGTGGACAATTCTGAGCCGACTTTATTTCTATAGTGAAAGAAAAATAAGTTAATTGATCTTGAAGGATATATACAGTGTTATAAACTGGGACTGTCTGGAAAGAAAAAAGAAATGGAATAGTTATTTTGGTCATAGTTTACATAAATAGTTTATGGTGAGTGACTCAGAAAACTGATTTAAAAATCAAAGGTTAACGTTAATTTTGAAAATTACTAATCATAGTTGACAATAAGAATGGCATTAGGTTTGACTTGAGTTGGGTCCTAATAGTTACAGTAAATAGGCTCTTACCTGCTAGTGAATGATCACATTAATGACTTTCAGTGAGGCTCTCTAAAGGGCAAGAGGGAGAATCCACAGGATGTGGGGTGCAGGACCCTCAGAGATCATTATTTGTAACTCTCTCATTTTCAGAGAAGTTAGGAAGCTTCTAGCAGGTAAGCTGTAGTGCCTCACTGTACCCTTGCCATCACTGAAGGTGTCCTTTTTTACATTCATGTTGTCATCTCCAACCTAAGTGTTCTTCACGTATGATACCCTTTTCCCTACTCATTTAAGATTAAACTTTTCCAACCAGAAAAGGCAAATGAAGAAGGGTATGAAGATTAAACTTTTCCAACCAGAAAAGGCAAATGAAAATCTCTATAAGGTTTAATCTAAATCCTTTGCCAACCTCCTTTTGTTTCCCACTCTTGTGTTATGAATTCTCTCTTGCTTTCTCAATTAATATTCTACTCATCTCATGTTGAATTAGTGTGCACAGAGATGCCAAGAAATAAATATTGTTAGTTCATTTTTTAAAACTGTTTTCACTCCTTTCATTGTTCTTAGCTGTTTTCCCTTCATCCCCTACTAGATTAGATAAAGAATCAGCTTTCAAATCATGGATTAAAGATGGTGGGTTTGCTTTAAACCTTTTGTGAAATGAGCTTGGATGTCATTATAAATAAAAAAATGAACACAGTGCTGTCTTCCTCACATGCAAAGGTGGTTGTGCTTAGCCAGTATGTGTGCATGCTGAGTTCTTTCTCCAGGTAGCCATGCTTACACCACTGACTTCCCTTAGGATCAAGGCACAGATCCAAGGCAACAATGGAGAGAGAGGGCTGAAGGTTGTTTCAACAAAACAGAAACCTGTGTAACAGCATCCAGTAGATATCAAACATCTGATCTGGGTCTTTTGATTTCATCCAAAATTAAACTGGTAGCTATTTCATTTAAAATTAAAATAAATTCTTAGTATAAACTCTAATTTATACCTTCCTCCATCCTCTCAAGTGATGTGAACATGACTAATGGGATTTAGTCATTTGATCTTTGTTTTCCTACAGATATTGCATCTGAAGATTCCTTAAGCAACCCTGGTCTAGATTTTATAAGTAATCTAATTACCATACATAATTAATTTGTGATGCAGTTTGAGTAATAAGTCATTACCTGTCAAGTCAGTGTGTGGTAATAAAATAACTAGACTGATAACTAGCATATTCTGCTATAATTTGTAATTAACTGGTTGTCCATTCATTGTAAAACCTGGAATAATGGGAGAGAACTGTGAATTCAGGATCTTTTTTTTTTTTTTTTTTTTTTGAGGCAGAATCTCAAGCTGTTGCCCTGGGTAGAATGCCATGGTGTCATAGCCCACAGCAACCTCAAAATCTTGGGTATAAGCGATTCTCTTGCCTCAGCCTCCCAAGTACCTGGAACTACAAAGGCCCACCACAATGCCCAGCTATTTTTTTGTTGCGGTTGTCCTTGTTGCTTAGCTGGCTCCAGGCTGGGTTTGAACCCACCACCCTTGGTGTATGTGGCTGGCACTGTAACTAATGTACTATGGACCCTGAACCGAATGCAGGATCATTTTAAGGTCTAGGGAGTTGATCTGTGTTTAGTCTCAAAGATTATTAATTATAATGATAGTTTAGAAGTTGACTTCTAACTGTGAAATGCATTTTAGGAAAAAATATACAAATTTAAAATAAGGTTTCTTTAACTGGGTTATATTAAATTTTATTTCACAAGATTAGCTTAGACTTTTTTTTTCCTCTTGAGACAGTCTCCCTGTCATCCTGGATACAGTGCTGGGGCATCATAGCTCACAGCAACTTCAAACCCTTGAGCTCAGACAATCGCCTTGCCTCAGTCTTCTGAGTAGCTGGGACTACAGGCACCTGCCACTATGACTGGCTAGTTTTTCTATTTTTAGTAGAGATGGAATCTTGCTCAGGCTGGTCTTGAACTCCTGAGCTCAGGTGATCTACCTGCCATGGCCTCCCAAAGCGCTAGGATCATAGGCGTGAGCCACTGTGACCGGCCAAGCTTAGATTGTTAAAGTATTCATTAGTGTCAGAAAGTTGGGGAAATAGCTTGTCTTAATTGGGTATTTAAATATTTGTATGTTTATGTAGTATTTCTCAGTTCAGACAGCAACACTCTCCTAAAGTTTACTAAACACTGTCCCTTCAAAACTGTTTAATAAAATTGTGGTAATGTATATATTGAAAGAGTACTTAAAATAGGTAACTTCCCATACACTTAAAAAACACACTAAAATATTTCTGTCGTTGTTGGTGAACCTGTGAAACATATAAGTTAAATGACTGGAAACATTTTCATCTTTAAACTAGGCATATATAAACTTAAGATAATGAACCAGAGTCCTAAACATTTGACTTCTCTTTTTATCTTTACTTCTCAGAATAAAATTATGCTTTTAAAATTAGATTTTAATATGTTGAGTTGAGTAGCACAGACTATACCTTGCTTAAGCTACTTTATACCCCCCCCCAAAAGGTTAATACTATGACAGGTGCTAGGTAAAATAAATTTAAGTCCAAGTAGATGATTGTGACTGATCAGAGGTATGGTCCTAGATAATCATAACTTGAGTTTTGCCTTTTTGAACCTTTTAAAAACTAAGACCAGGCTAGAGTGCTGTGGCATCAGCCTAACTCATAGCAACCTCAGATTCCTGGGTTCAAGGGAGAGATCCTCCTGCCTCAGCATCTCAAGCAGTAGGGACTACAAGCACTTACCACAAGCCCAACTAATTTTTCTGTTTTTAGTAGAGATAGCATTTCACTCTTGTTCCGGCTGGTCTAAAACTCCTGAGCTCAAGGGATTGTTCTGCCTCAGTTTTCCAGAGTGCTAGAATTCTAGGTGTGAGCCACAGTGCCTGGCCAAACTTGTACTATTTTAAAATTAAAAAAAAAAAAAAATTAGAATAAGGATATAAAGAAAATATTTTGTACAGCTTTCCAATGTGCTTTTTAAGGCAGATGTTACTACAAAAGAGTCAAAAGATTAAAAAGTTTATAAATAAGTTACAGTTAGCTAAGGTTAATTTATTACTGAAGAAATATATTTTCATAAATTTTATTTAGCCTAAGTGTACAGTGCTCATAACATCTATAGTCGTGCACAGTGATTTCCTATGCCTTCATATTCACTCACCACTCCTTACTGACTCACAGCAATGGGCAGTCCTGTAGCTCTATTCATGGTTAAGTGCCCTACACAGGGATACCATATTTTAAAATCTTTTTTACCTTACTTTTACCATACATTTCTCTGTTTTAAATACACAAATACGTAACCATTGTGTTACAGCTTCCTTACAGCTTTCTATAGTATTCAGTGCAATCACATGCCATAGGGGTTTTGTAACCTCAGAGTAGTAGGCTATCCCATCTAGCCTACCGTACTCAGTTTGTGTAAGGACACTCTGTGATGCTCACACATGGTAGGAAACTGCCAAAGGACACAGTTAAGGGATGTGGCCTAAACCAGAAGAGAGAGGACTCTTCCCTTGGGATATGCCATTTCAGCTGAAATTTAGAAGAGAAACTGGCCAGGAAAAGAGACTTGGGAGTCTTAAGGGAGGCCACCTAGCTACAGCCAGACGAGCCAAGAGGAAGAGGGCAGAAATGAAATGGAAGAAGCAGAAGTGGACCAGCTGGGTGTTTCTGGATAAGGACCAGGTTATTACCTAGGGAATACTGGATTTTAGGTGGAAGTGTGAGTGATTATACTTCTACGTTATGATCTTATAAAATCATAGCAGTTCCTCCAAGAATAGAGTAGGTCAAGGATGAATGTGGGGACATCAATTCTTTTTTGTTATTGCTGAGACAGTTTTGTCACCCTCAGTAGAGTGCTGTAGCGTCACAGCAACCTTCAAACTCTTGGGCTCAAGTGATTCTTTGACTCAGCCTCCCAAGTAGCTGGGACTATAAGCGCCTGCCACAATGCCCGGCTATTTTTTTGCAGTTTTGGGCC